CAGGCTAGGACTCCCCCCCCCCCACATGGTAATGATGCTAACTTTCTTATCGTCTGTTGGCCGTCTCACGTGTTTCATCTCACGGTTCTCCTCTGCCCCAGTTCTTCACTCTCACTTCCCTCTCCCTGCCTTTACTGGTGTTCCCCTTATCCGTCTTCCCCTTTGTTGCTTCCTTGTCTCCCTCACTTGCTAGATGCTCTCCTCTCCTCCTCCTCCTCTTCCTTGCCTCCTACACCTGTCACCTACACCTACACCTGCCACCTACACCACACCACACCTGCCAGCGACACCTGCCACCTACACCACACCACACCTGCCAGCTACACCTGCCACCTACACCACACCACACCTGCCAGCTACACCTGCCACGTACACCACACCACACCTGCCAGCTACACCTGCCACCTACACCACACCACACCTGCCAGCTACACCTGCCACACCACACCACACCTGCCACTACACCTGCCACGTACACCACACCACACCTGCCACACACCTGCCACCTACACCACACCACATCTGCCAGCTACACCTGCCACCTACACCACACCACACCTGCCAGCGACACCTGCCACCTACACCACACCACACCTACACCTACACCTGCCAGCTACACCTGCCAGCTACACCTGCCACACCACACCACACCTGCCAGCGACACCTGCCACCTACACCACACCACACCTACACACCTGCCACCTACACCACACCACCACACCTGCCACCTACACCACACCACACCTGCCAGCTACACCTGCCACGTACACCACACCACACCTGCCAGCTACACCTGCCACCACCTACACACCACACCACACCTGCCAGCGACACCTGCCACCTACACCACACCACACCTGCCACCTACACCTGCCACCTACACCACACCACACCTGCCAGCTACACCTGCCAGCTACACCTGCCACCTACACCACACCACACCTGCCAGCTACACCTGCCACCTACACCACACCACACCTGCCAGCGACACCTGCCACCACCTACACCACACCACACCTGCCAGCTACACCTGCCACCTACACCACACCACACCTGCCAGCGACACCTGCCACCTACACCACACCACACCTGCCAGCGACACCTGCCACCTACACCACACCACACCTGCCAGCTACACCTGCCACGTACACCACACCACACCTGCCAGCGACACCTGCCACCTACACCACACCACACCTGCCAGCGACACCTGCCACCTACACCACACCACCCTGCCAGCTACACCTGCCAGCTACACACCTGCCACGTACACCACACCACACCTGCCAGCTACACCTGCCACGTACACCACACCACACCTGCCAGCTACACCTGCCACCTACACCACACCACACCTGCCAGCTACACCTGCCACCTACACCACACCACACCTGCCAGCTACACCTGCCACGTACACCACACCACACCTGCCAGCTACACCTGCCACGTACACCACCACACCTGCCAGCTACACCTGCCACACACCACACCACACCTGCCAGCGACACCTGCCACGTACACCACACCACACCTGCCAGCTACACCTGCCACCTACACCACACCACACCTGCCAGCTACACCTGCCACACACCACACCACACCTGCCAGCTACACCTGCCACCTACACCACACCACACCTGCCAGCGACACCTGCCACCTACACCACACCACACCTGCCAGCCAGCTACACCTGCCACCTACACCACACCACACCTGCCAGCTACACCTGCCACGTACACCACACCACACCTGCCACCACCTGCCACCTACCCACACCTGCCAGCGACACCTGCCACGTACACCACACCACACCTGCCAGCTACACCTGCCACCTACACCACACCACACCTGCCAGCTACACCTGCCACCTACACCACACCACACCTGCCAGCTACACCTGCCACCTACACCACACCACACCTGCCACACACCTGCCAGCTGCCAGCCAGCGACACCTGCCACCTACACCACACCACACCTGCCAGCCTGACACCTGCCACCTACACCACACCACACCTGCCAGCTACACCTGCCACCTACACCACACCACACCTGCCAGCGACACCTGCCACCTACACCACACCACACCTGCCAGCGACACCTGCCACCTACACCACACCACACACCTGCCAGCTACACCTGCCACCTACACCACACCACACCACCACACCTGCCAGCTACACCTGCCACGTACACCACACCACACCTGCCAGCGACACCTGCCACGTACACCACACCACACCTGCCAGCTACACCTGCCACCTACACCACACCACACCTGCCACCTACACCTGCCACCTACACCACACCACACCTGCCAGCTACACCTGCCACCTACACCACACCACACCTGCCAGCTACACCTGCCACCTACACCACACCACACCTGCCAGCGACACCTGCCACCTACACCACACCACACCTGCCAGCTACACCTGCCACCTACACCACACCACACCTGCCAGCTACACCTGCCACACACCACACCACACCTGCCAGCCACCTGCCACGTACACCCACACCTGCCAGCTACACACCTGCCAGCGACACCTGCCACCTACACCACACCACACCTGCCAGCTACACCTGCCACCTACACCACACCACACCTGCCAGCTACACCTGCCACGTACACCACACCACACCTGCCAGCTACACCTGCCACGTACACCACACCACACCTGCCAGCTACACCTGCCACCTACACCACACCACACCTGCCAGCTACACCTGCCACCTACACCACACCTGCCAGCACCCTGCCAGCTACACCTGCCACTACACCACACCACACCTGCCACACCACACACCTGCCAGCTACACCTGCCACTACACCTACACCACACCACACCTGCCAGCGACACCTGCCACCTACACCACACCACACCTGCCAGCTACACCTGCCACCTACACCACACCACACCTGCCAGCTACACCTGCCACGTACACCACACCACACCTGCCAGCGACACCTGCCACGTACACCACACCACACCTGCCAGGTACACCTGCCACGTACACCACACCACACCTGCCAGCGACACCTGCCACCTACACCACACCACACCTGCCAGCGACACCTGCCACCTACACCACACCACACCTGCCAGCTACACCTGCCACGTACACCACACCACACCTGCCAGCGACACCTGCCACCTACACCACACCACACCTGCCAGCGACACCTGCCACCTACACCACACCTGCCAGCTACACCTGCCACCTACACCACACCACACCTGCCAGCTACACCTGCCACGTACACCACACCACACCTGCCAGCGACACCTGCCACGTACACCACACCACACCTGCCAGCTACACCTGCCACGTACACCACACCACACCTGCCAGCTACACCTGCCACCTACACCACACCACACCTGCCAGCGACACCTGCCACGTACACCACACCACACCTGCCAGCTACACCTGCCACGTACACCACACCACACCTGCCAGCTACACCTGCCACGTACACCACACCACACCTGCCAGCTACACCTGCCACCTACACCACACCTGCCAGCTACACCTGCCACGTACACCACACCACACCTGCCAGCGACACCTGCCACGTACACCACACCACACCTGCCAGCTACACCTGCCACGTACACCACACCACACCTGCCAGCTACACCTGCCACCTACACCACACCACACCTGCCAGCTACACCTGCCACCTACACCACACCACACCTGCCAGCTACACCTGCCACGTACACCACACCACACCTGCCAGCGACACCTGCCACCTACACCACACCACACCTGCCAGCGACACCTGCCACCTACACCACACCACACCTGCCAGCGACACCTGCCACCTACACCACACCACACCTGCCAGCTACACCTGCCACGTACACCACACCTGCCAGCGACACCTGCCAGCTACACCACACCACACCTGCCAGCTACACCTGCCACCTACACCACACCACACCTGCCACCTACACCACACCACACCTGCCAGCTACACCTGCCACCTACACCTATCAGCTACACCACCCGAAGCACTACCAGGTTCACTAACAACTCTTGGTTGTAAAGTTTCCTAGCGGGTAAAAACTATTAAATCAATATAAACAAGGGAGCCGGTCGGCCGAGCGGACAGCACGCGGGACTTGTGATCCTGTGGTCCTGGGTTCGATCCCAGGCGCCGGCGAGAAACAATGTGCAGAGTTTCTTTCACCCTATGCCCCTGTTACCTAGCAGTAAAATAGGTACCTGGGTGTTAGTCAGCTGTCACGGGCTGCTTCCTGGGGGTGGAGGCCTGGTCGAGGACCGGGCCGCGGGGACACTAAAAATCCCCGAAATCATCTCAAGATAACCTCAAGATAAGGGTGCCTTCCTCTAGAAGAGATGTAGAGGTTTCGTCGGTGGCGTCTTAAAGGAGCCTTGGTCCAAAACGGACGGCATCACCTTCATGTCATGAACCTGGGACGGCTTCCCTGGCCGTCAAGGGTGTCTCCCCTCTCCTGCTGCTGCTGCATCTTGGAACACCCTCAGCATCCACAAGAGGAAGCTGCACGCGACCCGGGAGACTTTTAACATCTTTCAAGATCTTTTTAAGATCTATTTATATACCGTATTCACTATTTAATTCTCGTAAGGTCTGTGCAGGTGGGGTTGACACACACTCCAGATAAGGTGAGTCAGGTCAATAAAGGTCACTAACAGCTTAACTACGCTACAACTTAACAACATAACCCATTAACAGCGGTCACTAATGCCGACAATAATATATATTTACAAGGCCATAGGAAATATTGGTACAGATTTGGTTCTACAGAACACCGTCCCGCTCAACCACGGCCAATAATGCGGGAAGAACGGCGTTACAAAGATGGCGGCGTGACGCGGCGCGCGGCGGGAGCATCAGTCTGGGCGCCAATGGGCGGGAAAATCCCTACCCGGAAGACTGGAGGGGGAACTGAGCGATTTGTAGGCTGGTTACCGCCCGCGTAAATCTTGGTGGGCGGCGGGGCGGCATGGGGGGGTGGTTGACCCGCCCACTCCCACGTCCGCCCCCGCCCCCACGTCTGCCCCCGCCCCCACCGCCCACATCTGTCCCCGCCCCCACGTCTGCCCCCGCCCCCACCCCCCACATCTGTCCCCGCCCCCACGTCTGCCCCCGCCCCCACCCCCCACATCTGCCCCCGCCCCCACCCCCCACATCTGTCCCCGCCCCCACGTCTGCCCCCGCCCCCACGTCTGCCCCCGCCCCCCACGTCTGCCCCCGCCCCCCACGTCTCCCCGCCCCCGCCCCCCACGTCCGCCCCCGCCCCCACGTCTCCCCGCCCCCGCCCCCCACGTCTGCCCCCGCCCCCCACGTCTGCCCCCGCCTCCACGTCTCCCCGCCCCCGCCCCCCACGTCCGCCCCCGCCCCCCACGTCCGCCCCCGCCCCCCACGTCCGCCCCCGCCTCCACGTCCGCCCCCGCCTCCACGTCTCCCCGCCCCCGCCCCCCACGTCCGCCCCCGCCCCCGCCCCCCACGTCTGCCCCCGCCCCCCACGTCCGCCCCCGCCTCCACGTCTCCCCGCCCCCGCCCCCCACGTCTGCCCCCGCCCCCGCCCCCCACGTCTGCCCCCGCCCCCCACGTCTGCCCCCGCCCCCCACGTCACCCCGCCCCCGCCCCCCACGTCTGCCCCCGCCCCCGCCCCCCACGTCCGCCCCCAGCTATCACCACAGATTAACGCTTCCATCACCTCATTATGATCATTTTAAAATCTTTAATTTCATAAAACTGTGTTGGCAATCATAATAAAATCTTTCACAAAGCTACACAACACAACACACAGGATCAGAAGAGAGGCAGAAAGACAGTAACGGAAATGACAGCAAATAAAGCAAAGACTCAACAACCTAAGTTACTGCACAGTCACATCAGAAGGAAAACAACAGTGAAAAAACAGGTAATGAAACTGGAGATGGGAGTAAACAGGTTCACTACAAATGAGAAGGAAGTGTGTAAGGAACTCAATACAAAATTCCAGGAGGTCTTTACATTAGAGCAAGGAGAACTTCCTGAACAAAGAGAGGCAATATCTAACCAGGCACCACTGGCGGAGTTTGAGATTACCAGTGGGGAGGTTAGGAAGCATTTGGTTGAGTTTGATGTGGCAAAGGCTGAAGGCCCAGTCGGAATCTCACCATAGATACTAAAAGAAGGAGCAAAAGCATCATGCCTAAAACTCACAATAGTGTATAATAACTCAAGGGTAACAGGGGAACTGCCAAAAATTTGGAAGACGGCTAAAGTAGTCCCGATATAGAAGAAAGTGGATTGACAGGAGTCACTGAACTACAGGCCAATGTCCCTAACTTGCATACCATTCAACTTAACAGAACAAATTGTGAGGGGAAAAGGCTGGTAGAACATCTGGTGAGAAGGAACTTTACAGCTCATCACCAGCACGGGTTCAGGGACGGTAAATCTTGCTTCACAACATTAATACAATTCTATGACCAGGCAACAAACATTAGGCAAGACACTGAAGGGCGGCCAGCCTGCATATTTCTGGACAGCCGGAGAGACAGCACCACCGCGGGTATTACACTCTAATGCAACACGTTGGGGCCAAGTCATTTAGGTAATACTTAAATTAAATTTAAAACAGGATGATGACAAGGAAAAAATTGTTGATGTTTACGTATGAAGCGAAGCAACACTACTTATATTCATCTTATCCGCAAAAAGGAAAATAACGTTTATTATTTATTTATTTATTTATTTATTTATTTATATACAAGAAGGTACATTGGGTTTGTGAGAATACATAGCATAGTACAGTAATTACACTCTTGTAAAGCCACTAGTACGCGCAGCGTTTCGGGCAGGTCCTTAATCTAACAGACAATTTTAAGTAGGTAAATTCTAGCAGAATTAATAAAATGATAACAAATACATTGCAAGAAAAAAAAATGAGATGAGAGAGATTAGTAAGTATATTAAAGCACATTGGTATATTAAAGCTCTGATTGATTACATTGACAGCTTGATTGGTAATTTAAACAAGATTAATAGACACCGTACAGCACATTGACAGCACACATAAGAAGACAGCAATGATCACAATGGTAACCTGCAACGTGGTAACCTGCAACGTGGTAACCTGCAACGTGGTAACCTCCAACGTGGTAACCTGCAACGTGGTAACCTGCAACGTGGTAACCTGCAACGTGGTAACCTGCAACGTGGTAACCTCCAACGTGGTAACCTGCAACGTGGTAACCTGCAACGTGGTAACCTCCAACGTGGTAACCTGCAACGTGGTAACCTGCAACGTGGTAGCCTCCAACGTGGTAACCTGCAACGTGGTAGCCTGCAACGTGGTAACCTGCAACGTGGTAACCTCCAACGTGGTAACCTGCAACGTGGTAACCTGCAACGTGGTAACCTGCAACGTGGTAACCTGTAACGTGGTAACCTGTAACGTGGTAACCTGCAACGTGGTAGCCTGCAACGTGGTAACCTCCAACGTGGTAACCTCCAACGTGGTAACCTGCAACGTGGTAACCTGCAACGTGGTAACCTGCAACGTGGTAACCTCCAACGTGGTAACCTGCAACGTGGTAACGTGTAACGTGGTAACCTGCAACGTGGTAACCTGCAACGTGGTAACCTGCAACGTGGTAACCTGCAACGTGGTAACCTCCAACGTGGTAACCTGCAACGTGGTAACGTGTAACGTGGTAACCTGCAACGTGGTAACCTGCAACGTGGTAACCTGCAACGTGGTAACCTGCAACGTGGTAACCTCCAACGTGGTAACCTCCAACGTGGTAACCTGCAACGTGGTAACCTGCAACGTGGTAACCTCCAACGTGGTAACCTCCAACGTGGTAACCTCCAACGTGGTAACCTGCAACGTGGTAACCTGCAACGTGGTAACCTGCAACGTGGTAACCTCCAACGTGGTAACCTCCAACGTGGTAACCTGCAACGTGGTAACCTGCAACGTGGTAACCTGCAACGTGGTAACCTGCAACGTGGTAACCTGCAACGTGGTAACCTGCAACGTGGTAACCTGCAACGTGGTAACCTCCAACGTGGTAACCTCCAACGTGGTAACCTGCAACGTGGTAACCTCCAACGTGGTAACGTGTAACGTGGTAACCTGCAACGTGGTAACCTGCAACGTGGTAACCTGCAACGTGGTAACCTCCAACGTGGTAACCTGCAACGTGGTAACCTGCAACGTGGTAACCTGCAACGTGGTAACCTGCAACGTGGTAACCTGCAACGTGGTAACCTCCAACGTGGTAACCTGCAACGTGGTAACCTGTAACGTGGTAACCTCCAACGTGGTAACCTGCAACGTGGTAACCTCCAACGTGGTAACCTGCAATGTGGTAACCTGCAACGTGGTAACCTGCAACGTGGTAACCTCCAACGTGGTAACCTGCAACGTGGTAACCTGCAACGTGGTAACCTCCAACGTGGTAACCTCCAACGTGGTAACCTCCAACGTGTTAACCTGCAACGTGGTAACCTGTAACGTGGTAACCTGCAACGTGGTAACCTCCAACGTGGTAACCTGCAACGTGGTAACGTGTAACGTGGTAACCTCCAACGTGGTAACCTGCAACGTGGTAACCTGTAACGTGGTAACCTCCAACGTGGTAACCTGCAACGTGGTAACCTGCAACGTGGTAACGTGTAACGTGGTAACCTCCAACGTGGTAACCTCCAACGTGGTAACCTGCAACGTGGTAACCTGCAACGTGGTAACCTCCAACGTGGTAACCTGTAACGTGGTAACCTCCAACGTGGTAACCTCCAACGTGGTAACCTGCAACGTGGTAACCTGCAACGTGGTAACCTGTAACGTGGTAACCTGCAACGTGGTAACCTGCAACGTGGTAACCTGCAACGTGGTAACCTGCAACGTGGTAACCTCCAACGTGGTAACCTGCAACGTGGTAACCTGTAACGTGGTAACCTGCAACGTGGTAACCTCCAACGTGGTAACCTGCAACGTGGTAACCTGCAACGTGGTAACCTGCAACGTGGTAACCTGCAACGTGGTAACCTGTAACGTGGTAACCTCCAACGTGGTAACCTCCAACGTGGTAACCTGTAACGTGGTAACCTCCAACGTGGTAACCTCCAACGTGGTAACGTGGATAAGAACTACGAGTATCTAATTATTAACAATAAATCTTGTGTCATTTCCAGGCACGTAAATTGACCTATAAACGGCTCAATTAACCCACAGTCTGGGATCTTATCTTGAGGTTATCTTGAGAGGATTTCGGGGCTTTTAGTGTCCCCGCGGCCCGGTCCTCGACCAGGCCTCCACCCCCAGGAAGCAGCCCGTGACAGCTGACTAACACCCAGGTACCTATTTTACTGGTAGGTAACAGGGGCATAGGGTGAAAGAAACTCTGGCCATTGTTTCTCGCCGGCGCCTGGGATCGAACCCAGGACCACAGGATCACAAGTCCAGCGTGCTGTCCGCTCGGCCGACCGGCTCCCAATAGGTACAGGGATGCAATGGTCTCGTCTCTCCCGTTGGACACATGGTTATGCTCCCCTTGTGAGCTGAGTGGCTGGGAAGCCTTGAAGCCTATAGTCGTACACGGCCAGTGTTTCGTTCACCCTGATGCGCCTGTTCACCTAGCAGTAAATAGGTACCTGGGAGTTACACAGTCTCTTCTCACCAATAGAATGCATGGGTGAGAGGAGACCAGGTGGACACAACACGTAGACAGCAGTTCAAGGAGTCAGAAGCGGAGGTCCCTCATAACGACACGGAACAATGCCTAACACCACAACCACACACCACAACCACACCACAACCACACACCACAACCACACACCACAACCACACACCACAACCACACACCACACACCACAACCACACCACAACCACAACCACACACCACAACCACACACCACACACCACAACCACACACCACAACCACACACCACAACCACACACCACACACCACAACCACACACCACACAACCACACACCACAACCACACACCACACACCACACACCACACACCACAACCACACACCACAACCACACACCACAACCACACACCACACACCACAACCACACACCACACACCACAACCACACACCACAACCACACACCACAACCACACACCACACCACACACACACACCACACACCACAACCACACACCACACAACCACACACCACAACCACACACCACAACACCACACCACACACCACAACCACACACCACACACCACAACCACACACCACACCACACACCACAACCACACACCACAACCACACACCACAACCACACACCACACACCACACCACACACCACACACACACACCACAACCACACACACACCCACAACCACACACCACAACCACACACCACAACCACCACACCACACACCACAACCCACCACACCACACACCACACCACACACCACAACCACACACCACACACCACAACCACACACCACAACCACACACCACAACCACACACCACAACCACAACCACACACCACAACCACACACCACAACCACACACCACAACCACACACCACAAGCACACACACCACACCACACACCACAACCACACACCACAACCACACACCACAACCACACACCACACACCACACACCACACACCACAACCACACACCACAACCACACACCACAACCACACACCACACACCACACACCACAACCACACACCACACACCACACAACCACACAACCACACACCACAACCACACACCACACACCACAACCACAACCACAACCACACACCACAACCACACACCACAACCACAACCACAACCACACCCAACCACACACAACACAACCACACACCCACACCACCACACAACCACACACCACAACCACACACCACAACCACACACACACACACCACACACCACAACCACACACCACAACCACACACCACAAACCACACACCACAACCACACACCACAACCACACACCACACCACACACCACACACCACACACCACACACCACAACCACACACCACACACCACACCACACACACCACAACCACACACCACAACCACACACCACAACCACACACCACACCACAACCACACACCACAACCACACACCACAACCACACACCCCAACCACACACCACAACCACACACCACAACCACACACCACACACCACAACCACACACCACAACCACACACCACAACCACACACCACAACCACACACCACAACCACACACCACACACCACACACCCCAACCACACACCCCAACCACACACCACAACCACACACCACACACCACAACCACACACCACAACCACACACCACACACCACAACCACACACCACAACCACACACCACAACCACACACCACAACCACACACCCCAACCACACACCACAACCACACACCACAACCACACACCACAACCACACACCACAAGCACACACCACACACCACAACCACACACCACAACCACAACCACACACCACAACCACACACCACAACCACACACCACAAGCACACACCACAAGCACACACCACAAGCACACACCACAAGCACACACCACAACCACACACCACAACCACACACCACACACCACAACCACACACCACAACCACACACCACAACCACACACCACAACCACACACCCCAACCACACACCACAACCACACACCACAACCACACACCACAACCACACACCACACACCACAACCACACACCACAACCACACACCACAACCACACATCACACACCACAACCACACCACAACCACACACCACAACCACACACCACAACCACACACCACAAACACACACCACAAACACACACCACAACCACACACCACAACCACACACCCCAACACACACACCACAACCACACACCACAACCACACACCACAAACACACACCACAACCACACACCACAACCACACACCACAACCACACACCACAAACACACACCACAAACACACACCACAACCACACACCACAACCACACACCACAACCACACACCACAACCACACACCACACACCACAACCACACACCACAACCACACACCACACACCACACACCACAACCACACACCACAAGCACACACCACAACCACACACCCCAACACACACACCACAACCACACACCACAACCCCACACCACAACCACAACCACACACCACAACCACACACCACAACCACACACCATAAACACACACCACAACCACACACCACAACCACACACCACACACCACAACCACACACCACAACCACACACCACAACCACACACCACAACCACACACCCCAACACACACCACAACCACACACCACAAACACACACTACAACCACACACCACAACCACACACCACACACCACAAGCACACACCACAACCACACACCACAAGCACACACCACAACCACACACCCCAACACACACACCACAACCACACACCACAACCACACACCACAACCACACACCACACACCACAACCACACACCACAAACACACACCACAAACACACACCACAACCACACACCACAACCACACACCACACACCACAACCACACACCACAACCACACACCACAACCACACACCACAAACACACACCACAAACACACACCACAAACACACACCACAAACACACACCACAAACACACACCACAAACACACACCACAAACACACACCACAAACACACACCACAAACACACACCACAAACACACACCACAAACACACACCACAACCACACACCACAACCACACACCACAACCACACACCACAAACACACACCACAACCACACACCACAACCACACACCACAAACACACACCACAACCACACACCACAAACACACACCACAACCACACACCACAAACACACACCACAACCCCACACAGTACAACCACACACCACAAACACACACCACAACCACACACCACAACCACACACCACAACCCCACACAGTACAACCACACACCACAACCCCACACAGTACAACCACACACCACAACCACACACCACACACCACACACCACACACCACATACACCAACATCAGAGACGTATGAAGTATTACCGAACATAAGAATAACTTTAACCATCTTGGACAAAGTAACCTCCAGAACAAAGCCCAAACCACTAACGATGCAAACCTAATGACATTGGGTCTACAACACGGTCACTAAGCTAAAAACTTAAGGGAAGCCAAGTGACATGATCGAGACATACAAGGTACTTAGGGGGAGTGAGAGTAAATATAGACAATGTGTTCAGAAGCAGCAGCAATGGAACTAATGTCCAATATTGGAAACTGGAGACCCTTACAAGACCATGGTTAGGTAAGAAAACATTGTAATTAGAAAGTGTAGACTAGATACATGGTGGGGGGTAGACTCCATACATGGTGGAGTAGTGTAGACTCCATACATGGTGGGGTAGAGTAGACTCCATACATTGTGGGGGTAGTGTAGACTCCATACATGGTGGAGTAGTGTAGACTCCATACATGGTGGGGGTAGACTCTATACATGGTGGGGGTAGTGTAGACTCCATACATGGTGGGGGTAGTGTAGACTCCATACATGGTGGGGGTAGTGTAGACTCCATACATGGTGGGGGTAAAGTAGACTCCATACATGGTGGAGTAGTGTAGACTTGTTACGGCCCTCTCGGGACGCAACGGGGTTCTTACTCTGATGTTGTTAGAGGAAGTTGTATCCGGCCCCAAGCCAGAAGTGGCTTTCAAGGGATGAGATCCGTGACGCAAGTAACTTAAAGGGGAAGGGAAATAAAGTCAAGAACTTAATATAATATATTGACCACCACCAATAAATAATATATAAAAAGATTACACGGGGGGAGGGGTATTAACACTGTACACAAACGTCTTCTCCTGAAGACTCTGGATCCAAGCTCTCGGTGCTAAGTCTTCGGTGCTTTCGTGGCCTCACAACGAATCCTCTGAGAAGCTGAGCCTACCCTGGCCACAGGTCAGCCAAAACACAGGTCCACTGGGGGCACCGCCGTGGAGGCCGTCAACCACAAGTCCAGCAGGTCTGCTGGCAGGTTCCGGATCAGCAACGCTGGTCAGGCCACTCCACGAACGATATTAGGGTAACGCCCTAGACAGGAGCCTCGTGTGATACCACAAATCACTCTCCTGTCCTCAGTACC